GTGAGTCAATGGCTAGAAAGGGGGGTATATGTGTCATTCAAAATTCTTGTTTATTACTTATTTTACATTTTTGTACTTACATGTATTTAATTAAATGTTTTCATAAAAACTTGTTGATTAAACATCATAGATACATGCATGGAATATGTGTGATAGACACCGAGTTTTAGAGTTGAAGTCAATGAAAATTATATACATGTATATGTATCTAAGAAATGATTTAGAAGTCGTACTATAGTCTCTGTTAAGTACAAAATACTCAATACAGTTTCAAAACTGATCTTGTGGGAAGGGATTCAGGTAAAGAAATTAAATAAAATACAGGGTATAGCAGCATTATTTTAATTTTAACTAGATAAGTTGGATGTGTAACCTAAATGTAATTTTTGTTACAATCTATGTCTTGATATATATAGATACTTACCTATAGTTTACTGTAGTTACATTCCATTTGTTACATACATTGTATATGTATAAGGTAATGTTGTGAACATTATTTAAGGTAGATTTAGCACTCAGGTCTGTGAACTGGTTTATAAAGCTGGTCACCTGGATCAAATTTTCCCCATCATGTATTGTATAAATTCAGCTTATTCTGTCACTGTTACATTTACATGTACTAGCCCTTACCGAACTTGCCCTGCTTTGAATTTGGAACAGGCTATTTGTAGTTTAACAGTTAGTCCGGTCAGATTGTATGGCTGTGTTGGTGTGCTTCACTCTGTATTGATAGTACAGGCAAGTGAATATTGTCTTGTATTGAAATTTCAAAAGTTTGAAAATGAAAGTGTTGATTTGATACAATACATGTACTTGTTGATTGAAACTGACAAATGCCCCTGAAGCTGGGTCCAGTAAAGGAACCATGACCTTTTGACTTATAACAAAGGTATAGTTACTGTACAAGTATAGAGAATACAAGAGTAAAGAAACATAACAAACACTTTCTGATGTTCTCTGTATGACCAATTATTTAAAAAAAGCATCTATGAATGAATGACAATGATATAATCAGACACAACCGTCTATGTACTTTTGACCTTCACCTTTCTAGCTGTTTAGACCGCCTCCGTGTCAAGGGGTTAGAGTGGATGACTTCTAATCCAGTTACCTCTCTGGCGTGGGTTCGATCCCCAGGAGATGCTTTGGTAGTTTAGCACGGAGGAAGGTAGTCTAGTACTGGTGTAACTCTCCAGGAACGATGGTTAGGAAACTACCCGCCTATATGACTGAAATACTGTTGGGGAAAAGGTGTAAAATGAAACAAACAAACTGTCTAGCTGTTGACCTGATGTTTCGCATGACAAATTTTCTTAATGTGTCACAAAATTGTATCTAGTTGTGTTTAGTCAGAATTCATCCATGAATGACAGAATTGATGACTTTATAATTGTGACTGGACTTAAACTGACCTTGAGCATGAAACCTAATTCAACACATCGTCTTCATGTGCAAAGCATTAATGTAAATTTATATAGATTGTCGACCAGACACAAACACTAATGCTTTTTAATACTTCAAAGAAAAGATTTCCTTTCAGCCTTGACCTTTGAGCTGCAAGCTTTGATTTCATTTTAGTGTGCTAATTATTTATGCATAATTATTTCAAATGCTGTCCATGAAGTCATGTATTGGACTCGGACAACATCATAACTTTCAATGTTGAAGTGTGACTTTTACCTTTGACATAGAGACCTGACACATCCTCGTCATATCCAACACATTTTGTCACCTTAGTGCAGTAATTGGTTAACTCCTTATATATAATTTACCCAGTAACTGGAGGTATATACCAAGTAACTGGAATTAACTGGTTACTGCACTAAGATGACAATTTATGCTTTGTTAATCCAAAATCAATTCAGTAATGACAGAATTGTTGACCTGACAAGGCTATTGATGCTCAGTTTTTCTAAAAATTCCTTTCAAATCTAAATGTGACCTTGACCTTTGACCTACAAACCAGGATCTTTCATGTGACACATTTCCTTATTGTGCATTGTCTCATTATGATCTATACAATCTTTTTTCAAAATCTATCCATGAAGTCTGGACCAAAGTTATGGACAAATAAAAAAGCAAACAGATGGACCAATAGTTCAAAAACATATAGTAGATATTACAGCAAGATTTATATAACTTAATGATTTATTGGAATACATTGTGTACCTCAAATGAATTTTGTTAGTCAAATCAAATAAAAAAAGAAAGTTGATTTATTGGCCTTTAATTTAAATGTTATGTCAACACAAAGTTTATGAGAATCACATATGTAGTTAAATGTGTTGTAGCATGTAATTTCAACAAACTGTTCCAAATTCAATGCAGAGCAAAAATTACACAAATTCAGCAGAGTAAGGTTGTTGCAGGTAAATAAGGTCTATACAAATGTCTTCCAAAATTAAGTATTTGCAAAGTAACCGTAACCATTCTAAATTTTTTAAATGAGTTATACCATTTATCATTTTTAGGACTGACTGAAAAGCAAATAGTGCAGACCACCACGATCAGACGGCACAGACGTGCCTGCTGATTTTGGTCTGCGCCGGTCACATGGGTAGTCAAGATGCTGCCTTAAGATTATAAATGATGTTAGTTTTTAGGAATTGGAAATTCTACCAGCACTTTTGTTGTGTAAATTTAAATGAATTTGGTTATTTGCACCAGTTTGTTATATAGTTTTATGCAATTGAGGAATAGGTCTCGAGTTCTATTCTTTTGGAGGAATTATTGTTGATTTACAGTGTTATTGAATTAGGAAAAAAAGATTTCTGTTATGTTTCTAACTTGATTTTTTTTATGTTTTGCTCTTTAGTGAGAATAAACAGATAATAAAATGATATAAAAACAAAGTCTGTTGATCTATTTGTTAACCAGGTTTTCAAGTCATTGGTGTGTAAAGGTAGGCAGGGACAGGTGTCAGTATTGTTTCTGCTCTAGGAACAATATTTTAACGCTGCAAGCACCATGAATGGATGTTGCAAGCACTGTCCCCTTAATGTTAGGTATGTGTGGATGTTACAAGCACTGTCCCCTTAATGTTAGGTTACTATGTGTGGATGTTGCAAGCACTGTCCCCTTAATGTTAGGTATGTGTGGATGTTGCAAGCACTGTCCCCTTAATGTTAGGTGTGTGTGGATGTTGCAAGCACTGTCCCCTTAATGTTGGATACTATGTGTGGATGTTGCAAGCACTGTCCCCATAATGTTAGGATTTGTGCTGATGTTGCAAGCACTGACCTGGTAATGCTAGGTATGTGTGGATGTTGCAAGCACTGTCCCCTAAATGTTAGGTACTGTGTGTGGATGTTGCAAGCACTGTCCCCTAAATGTTAGGTACTGTGTGTGGATGTTGCAAGCACTGTCCCCTAAATGTTAGGTACTGTGTGTGGATACTGCAAGCACTGTCCCTTAATGCTAGGTACTATGTGTGGATGTTGCAAGCACTGTCCCCTAAATGTTAGGTACTGTGTGTGGATGTTGCAAGCACTGTCCCCTAAATGTTAGGTACTATGTGTGGATGCTGCAAGTACTGTTCCCTAAATGCTAGGTACCATGTGTGGATACTGCAAGCACTGTCCCTTAATGCTAGGTATCATGTGTGATACTGAAAGCATTGTCCCTTTAATGCTAGGTGTAATGTGTGGATACTGCAAGTTCTGTCCCTTAATGCTAGGTGTCCTGTGTGATGCTGCCAGCACTGTCCCTTTAATGCTAGGTGTAATGTGTGGATACTGCAAGTTCTGTCCCTTAAAGCCGCAAAAATCCCTGCCCTGGTAGGGAGAATTTTGTAGGCGTGTTTATCAGATAAATCATGCAAAGGACGCTGTACCTGTGCTAAATTTAGCTGATGTAAACAAACACTATAGCAGACGATAACATTTGTTATTACTGATCAGCAGCTCCCTTCCTAGAGTAATATTTCAAGTTTCTACTGGAAAGTTAACACTGCCATGTGTATTTGTTTACAACCTGCAGTTCATGACCCCATTCACTCCGCCCCCGGGATTTTCAAATTTTTGACAGTTATTGATTTTTTTTTCCACAAATTACATTTAAGTGAATCTTTTGTGATATTTTCTCTGCCATTTTATTTCAAATGTTGCAAAGAAGTTATACAAAAAGTTTTTAGGCAAAATACTTCTTGGTTATTTTACTATTTCAAAAAAGGGCTGTTAGATGTGAAGCATGTAAAAAATACCATGAAAATCTGCCCCAGCGCCATCTAGTGGCTTAAATAGTCAAGTTGCAGGTTTAATGCTAGGTATCATGTGTGATGCTGCAAGTGCTGTTCCCTAAATGCTTGGTACCATGTGTGGATACTGCAAGCACTGTCCCTTAATGCAAGGTATCATGTGTGATACTGAAAGCACTGTCCCTTTAATGCTAGGTATCATGCAAGTTCTGATCCCTAAATGCTAGGTATGTGTGATGCTGCAAGTTTGTCCCTTAATGCTAGGTATCATGTGTGATACTGAAAGCACTGTCCCTTTAATGCTAGATACCATGTTAGGATGTTTAAAGCACTGTCCCCTTAATCCTGGGTACCATGTGTGGATACTGAAAGCACTGTCTTCTTAATCCTGGGTACCATGTGTGGATACTGAAAGCACCGTCTTCTTAATACTTGGTACCATGTGTGGATACTGTAAGTAATATTTTCTTAATGATGGGTACCATGCAAGGAGACTAAAAGAACCATCACCCTAATGTTGGGTTCTATGTTCTATTGAAGTGTTTATAAAAAAATTCCATGACATGTTAAAATATTACAACGGGCAGTATCCTATCAGGGACATGTGAGGAAGCTATCTAGCTAACTTACAGGTCAGTGGTTCTACTTTGTGGCCACTTGTACTTGAAATAATGCACGAAGACGCACCTGTGACCCCCTTTACCAGTAAAGCTTGGAAGTTGCACCATCTCTATTACAATACCAGTGTATCCAGCCAACAAACAAGCAAACTTAGAAGGACTGGAGAAAAAACAGGAACAAGAAATTTACTTTCTTCAGCAGTTTTATTTCACAATACAACTAAAATAAGTTATAAGTTGCACTTAAAAAACAACAGTAATTCCTTTACTTATAGGGGGGAATTATACATAACTATAGCAACTCTGATGATAACACTAACATTTTAATATAATAACATAGAATGAAAAAACGTAACAGTTAATCTTCAAGGACAACAATCATTTGCAATCAACACAAATGGCTTATATATCTAAACTGGAACAATATGGTTCTACATGATCTTATCTCCTTTGTTTCAAAGGTGTTAAAACCATTTCACACTCAGCTCTAATTACTTAAAGCTTTACACATAATTAAAATACACTTTTAAACAAGAGCACCGTATGTAGTGTTAACGCTCGTCTGTTCAAAATACTAATTTAAAAAGGGTCATAACTCCAATATATTGCTTTCAGAGTTATGCGCCTTGTCTATCAACTGTACCTTGTCATGTAAAGCAAGTATACCTTTTGAAATGTATGAGCAACGGGCTACGTAAATGTTTTTGCTCGATGACAACGTTGCCGCCACAGCAATCATAATACCTTTACTTTATCTTCGAAACAGATGAGCTAAAAATCATATGAACTCCAGTACAATGTACATGTATTTTTAATCATAATTCAATGATCCAATTATATCCAATTACTTATTTTACTGCAAGTTGAGTTATTTAACTGTTACAATGCTGAAACCAAACTTGCAACGCCTTTTCCACCAGTATACAGTCTGGTAAACCTGCACATTCATGCACTCGGACCAGTCTCTTTACTGCTGGGATCAAACGTTTAAACTTTTATCATGATATCCCTAAAATTGATAATGGATTGTTCCAAAATGGAAGCTGGGACAAGTCCATACAGGAATTTCAGTAGGTTAACGATTAAATTCTGATGATAATTTATACAGCTTAAAGAATATAACTAAAATCATTGTTGATAAAATACTTCCATTACTGCAAAGGTGTATATTACTTTCACTAATACTATATTAATAGTTATATAGAAACTGAAACATGTACAAAAGTCAGAAAATTTTAATGTTACTAAGGTTTGCTGTGAATTCCAATTTTCTAAACATTGTAGTTTTACAACTATGACATTATATTCTATTAATAGCACCATCTTTATATGAATGAAAGCAATTAGTATAAAAATTTGTACATTCAAAGGTTTTAGAATGAGGCTATATTTTTTCAAATATTGCGTTAAAATGATTTTAGTTAAAACATGTATTGTTTTCAACTAAAGGATAAAAAGTTAAAATAACATAATTCCTGTCTAACTGATACAGTTAAACAGTATTGTACCATTTGATGGCAAATACATACACCATACCATACCAGCAGATGACAAATACATAACCATACTAATTGACTGTAAAATAGCAAATACATGTACTATAGCTTATTTATAGATAAGATTTTCATTCATTTCAAATGACTTAATGGTACATATATACATATGCCATACCATACCACAATAATGCATGGTAATTGCATAAACCATACCGTAGATATGCAGATATATTAGCAGATTGCAAATACATACACTATACCATGATCATTACCCTAATATGATCACCATTCCATATCAGAAGAATAGCAAATTCAATTACCATACCATACCATATCAGTGAATGGCAAATGCATATGCCATACTACTTACTTTTATGGTAAGTATGTACATCATACCAATGAATATTAACAATCTATTTCCCTTCACTTAAAATTTTTTTTTATTTATATAGATTTTAAAACTTATAATCATGTTTCACTTGAAAAATTTGTTGCAATCATTAGAATTATACTGTCTAAGATTTCTTTAACACAAATATTTGACATTAAATGTCCTCGTAACCTTCAAAATATTATCTAATCTATAATTTGGTATAGCTTAAAGAAACTGGTATTTTCAGAGATATAGTTGACACTGCCATTTCCTGTTAAAAACTCCATTCACTGTTCTTACCATTTAAATCATTTTATTTTTTCTTACAGTAGTTGTATTTTTATTAAAAATTCAAATGCATGCCACATTATGAAAGGAGTAACTTGCTTGTTTAGCTAATAAATTGTCTCCCTTGCACATTTCCAGTAAATTGTCTCCCTTGCATGTTTCAAGATTGTATAAGTACTTGAAATTTGATATCTCATAAAAATATACTTTGCAAATGGTGGTAAAAAAGATGACAGAAAGTGACTTAGACATGATGAATAATGAATATACTATATCAAAATTCAAAAAATACACGAGATACACAAGTACTGTACAATGTTTACATGTTACTGTACGAGTTCATCGTTTACAACATTAATAAAAATGTTCAAATAGAAAAACTTTGTATCTCTTTTAGTATATAGTTGTACACTAGTATTATTTCCCATAGTGTTGTTAAATGTCATTTATTTCCATTATTTTCCTTGTTTCATCAGTGTTTGAAATGCCGTTTCATGCGAAAAACGTTCTTCTTTTGATCTCATTGTTTTTCCTTTCGATGATGTTTAAATTTAGACCAGTTTGTTCTTAAACAGGCAGTGAAGTTTAAACACTTTCTCGACACATTTTAAAGGCTAGGCCATTTTATTACGGAATTTGTGTGTAATCTATAGAGTCATTGTACAGACTTAGGCCAGGCGATGTTGGCAGCATTACGTTTGTATGCGAATATACACTCCTTCTTGTGCAAAAGACGGTCAGCTTTCAGAGACTGCGGACACTCCATGTCCATCAATTTGTGTTCTGTAATATAAATAAAAATCATTTAAATTGTTAAAAATACTAGATTCATTGTAATACAATTTAAAGCTCTTTGAAGCATTTTGGAAATTCTTGATTATGCATGTAGATCATGCATTTAAATAAGACATATTTCTATGCTTTTTAATATTACTGATGTACCAGAAAGCCAGGAAAGGTAACAACTTGTACAATTTATTTCACTAAAAAACTGGCTTATTTAAAATGATTATTTTTAATACTGATAAAAGAAATTAAATTTGCATGTGTTTATGTAAAAACATGACATGATTATAAAGAAATTAATGAAGAATGAACCAAATCAAAACTGACCCCTACCTTCTCCACTCTCTAACGTATACAGTCCATAATCTTGTGGATTTGTGATCTTAAACTTGTGGGCAATCATTGAACCTGGAATATAAATAGAAAAATTTGATTGGCTGTTTGCTTGTGACAATGGATCACAATGAAAATTTCAAAACATTGGTTACTGGCAATAAAATAATGCTACTCTCACATGTTTGTTAACATTGAAAATCTATAACTGTTATTTTTTGCTTTTACTGTAAAACTTAGGATCAGTATCATTATTTGTCACTGAAAGCTACTGTTCTTGTACTAGTTTTCATTCATTTTTAAAATGTAAAAAGTAGAGAAAACTAGAAATGAGTCCATAGGACACGGGTGCCCCCACCGCGCCACTGTTCTGTCAATCTTTTTACTAAGTCAAGGGAAATAACTCTACAAATACTGGATAAATCCACACGCGAAACCCCAGGTGCAAATCTAAATATGCTGAGGAACCTGCCCATAAGGTTTAATGACTATGTCAAATCCTTTTTGAGTAACTTGCGACACAAGTTGAAAATTGCAAAAATTTTCTAAGTGAAGGGCAATAACTCTAAAAATACTAAATAAATCCACACAAAAGTACCTGGTGCACAACTGCACATGCTGATCAATATTCCTGTAAAGTTACATGACTCTAGGTCGAATACTTTTTGAGTTACATGCGACACATGTTGAAAATTGCAAAATTTTACTAAGTCAAGGGCAATAACTCCGAAAATACTAAAAATATCCACACGAAAATACCCAGGTGCACAACTACACATGCTGATCAACATTCCTGTAAAGTTTCATGACTCTAGGTCAAATACTTTTTGAGTTACGTGCGACACAAAAGTGAACGGACGGACGGACGGAAGGACGGACGGACGGACAAGGGTAAATCTAAATGCCCGCCACTAACGTGGGGGCACAAAAAAACCCCATATGTGATAGACAAAAAAGGGATATTTATTTAAATTTAAGTAAACCCCTGCCTGAAGTACTGGATTTCTTTGTTTTTAACCTTTACCCTGTTATACGATTATTTATATTATATAGTTCATTGTACAGTAGATACATTAGTTCATTATACATTAGTTCACTCTAAGCTTTATGGAACTCATTATAAAATAGTACAGCCTATATTATAGACAGTGGCAAGACATTTTACAAAAGATCTCAGTCACTTACAAACATCTCTGGTAGTCATACTAGGTCTTACAGGTAAAGTTCTCCACACTATTGTATCTTGTTGCTCGTCTGGAATGGCAATCTTCAGGAAACCCTGCATATCACTTATACTAGGTAGCTTGCCCTGAAATTATAATATATGCTTTATTAATTTCTGGAGAATCTCATTAAATTTTGCTTTGCCGCATGAACAAAGGTTTAGCAAAATCTCTAAAATATACAGACTTTGAAAATCCATGTTAAAACTGAAATTGTGACCTTGACAGCCATGAGCAAGTTCTTCATGCTGCTATTAATGGATTGTTGTTTATAAATATCTAAAGACTGTCAAGGTTTTATAATGACAATATATCATTTCTACTTCCATATTTTTTTTTCCAATTCAATTCAAAACCTTTTTTTTTCATCATGAATTAACATAAAAGCAGAGTAGTTTAGCCTATCTCCTGTCAAATGGTTACAAAAGCAGCATTGTCTTATCTTGTATTAAAAGCCTATCTGATGTTAACAATACTAGCTGGTCTTTTTTAATAAGTCAACCTTTAAATCAAAATGCTTTATTCAAATGTCATCTCATGCTATCTTGCTAATTACTATGAACCCATTAAAGTAACCCAACCTTAATTTTGGCAAGATTGTAATTTAATAATCATTCATACAGATATATTTAAGAGACCAGGTACGGAAAATTCTGCATAGTCATAAAATTGACAGTCTGGTATGTTGGCTCTGCACCAAGATGTCTGGTGATTAACCTTGAGGTCATTCATTTAAAAACAAACCTCTAATAATTGAATAAAAAAAGATCAGATTTTCGTAAAAGAAAGAAAGAAAGCTACTTTCAAAAATCATGAAATTCATTTTTTTTTAAACTTTAAAGTATTTCAATCAATGATAAAGACATAACATGTCATCTAATATAATAAAGTTCCTTGTGTACCAAATTAACCCTTAATTAGCCTGCTGGCAAAAACTGGTTCTGCCAGTGCCACCATGTGACCAGTGCAGACAAGATCATTGTTACATCCTTACTGTCTTATCATGGTCTGCACTATTAGCTATTAAGTCAGTATATATTTTGAACTTTCACCCCTGAAAAGATGAATGGTTTTGTTCATACTAAAGCATGGACTAGTCCATTTAAGATACTTAGTGAGTGTGGTAAGGGTTAGAAAGTTCATTGGCTGTAAATATACTATCAAGAAGCCCTTCCCCAATCTGACAACATTAGTAAAGAAATAAATTCATACACCTTATCTCTTCAAAGTCACTACATTGTTATCCCATGTGTTTCTATGAAGCTAGGTAAAACAATCTGCTTGTACAGTAACAGTATCTTTTATATACATGTACTCTATTTTCTCGAGGCTTGAAAATAAACCAGATTTTACAAGTTACTATTTAACATCTGACAAATTTTGCTTATTCCAGGCACTACTGGATTCTGAGTTACATAACTTTTAAGTAAAAACTACTATTCACCTCTTGTTGAGAAGCTGTGGTTTCCTGCATTTCTTGGAAATTTTTCAGGACAAGAACAGCACTACTGAGTGATGTCAGGTAATAGCCTCCCTCCCCGTTTAAGAGGGAGGGATGTAACAGCCCCCACATGTAGTCTGCTTCTATCTCCACGGAAACCATTCCACACTGCACCAAAACATATATCAACATTGGCAGAAAATCTGAAATCACATTCAAAGAAACTATAAATTTAATACACATTTTCTTCTTCTTTTCTTTTGCCATTTTGCCAAATGATAACCAATGATTCTTCCAATAATTAGAAATATGAGAATAGCTTTAACAAGATGTTTGCTTTTAATTTAATGTCTGTAACAAAAACACAAAACTCTCAGCTAATTGGTGAAACATGTATCTGCTACAGGAACAGAGAAAACAATATAATGAAAGTAAGTGAAATCTTGAAAATCTAAATTACCGTCTGCTCCAAAAACTGGCAAAGAACTGTTACTCCGTTGTCCTACAGCTACCTGTAAAGAACAAATTACTTTCATAGTTATCTCCCTTAGACAAAAAAAAGTATTTTATTTCAAATAAAAGTAATCTTTCGTTATTAAAAATAAAGAAAAACAAACTTATTGCAATAAAAGAAGCTGTAGAGGGAGGAATTAATAATCATATGGAACAAGTGAATTTTTTTTTTTTGCTGCCTTCTTTTCAAATTCTCATTTATCTCAACAGTTGCATTACATAGACAAATTATATTTACTTACACATTTATATATTGAGGATGTTGCAGCCAAAAGATGTTCTAGTTTCTTCAAGGGAGAGTAGGATTTCTGCATTCGTGTAAAATAATGTTTGATCACTTCCAGAGTTGGACCGTCAGGGGGAGAAACTCCTTTCTGAAATCAAAATACCATACATGACCATTTGTTAACTCTTTAACTTGCTGAACTTCTCAAAAGGAGTTGTCCAGCTTCCTTTTAAGAAATTGTCCCTTATTAATTTTAGGGATTATCAATGAAGATGAAAATTTGATGTAAATCGGGCAATAGTATAAAGTCTAATCAGACTGCATGGATGTGCAAAAAAAAAAGCTGGAAGATGGTCAGTTAACAAACAGCACTGAATCCAGTCAAATTCTAAAGATTTACAGACTGTCCTGGCCTTATACTGGTCACAAAGGTTTTTTAGTTTTGATCATGGTATTTACAGTCAAAATTTCAATTACAATTTAAAGTATTTTTCCACTTGTGAAAAAATAGTCAATCTCTATAAATAGCCCATACATAATACCCTCCCCCCAAACAATGCATATCTACAGATCATGACTTCATGCATGTGTGCATATCAAGTATTCTACATTTAATTGCAGTGTGTGCATTTTGTTTATAAAAATACCCCAAAAGCCAGACAGACATGTGTGTTACATATTGCACTTTGCCAATTATTTCTACCTGCTTGGATCCAGACAGAATGATCAAAGTAAAACAATATTCCAATTAGTATACCTCAACAAATTCAATGACAGCCTATTACACTAAAAGCTTGTAACGTGTTAAATATAGAGTTTTAACGGACTAAAGAATATAATCTAATATAATTAGAAACAAAAAAGGTCTGCATTACCCGAATTCCGATCTCCTCGGCTGTCTTTGTTCTCGCATATTTGATATTACTGGACAGTAGTTTCAGGTTACCATTCCTTTAACAGAAAGCATAAATCATTGTAATAATTAAAAAGAATAGTGAAACTTTTGCTAATATACCAAATACGGTGTATATATAATACCTTGGAGATTAGGTTTCAAAACATAATATTTATTTCAGTACATAGTGTGAAGGGTTCTATCAAACTTGAATTGTTTTCAATTGTCTTGTAGTAAGGTCTGCCAAAATTATAATTGAGCCGCGTCACGACAAAACCAACATAATGGGTTTGCGACCAGCATGGATCCAGACCAGCCTGCGCATCCGCGCAGTCTGATCAGGATCCATGCTGTTTGCTATCAGTTTCTCTACTTGTTATAGAGTTTGTAAGCGAACAGCATGGATCCTGATCAGACTGCGTGGATGCGCAGGCTGGTCTGGATCCATGCTGGTCGCAAACCCATTATGTTGGTTTTGTCGTGTCGCGGCTCAATTATGAATATACTTCAACATGAGTGACAAGAAATCATAACAGCTGGTATATAAACAAATTTTGCACCAACATTCTGTGTGTTAAACACTTACTTTATAATTGTACTTATCCTATGTAATTCTAACAAAAAACACCTTTTTTTTCATTGTTTAAGGCATCTGATAAGCATTGTGACAATCTATAATAAGAGTTTCACTACATTAAGTTTAATTTTACAGACAAAACAATTCTTTTGTTCAACAATTTTATAATATTCATATTTATTTTTGCCTGTATAAAAAGTTTGCGAACGTATATACTAGCAATCATTGGAAAAAATAAATCAAACTTTCAGGTACTCTAAAATATCCAAGAAATGTTTTTGCCTTACCTTGTATATTCATTGACAAAAAGTTTATAGATGTTTTGTTTCAATGGTTGTATGACACATACATGGAGAGAACCTTCGATAATAGCATCTATATTCAATATCTCATCTCTACCAAGCTGAAAATATACATAAAACTACTTTAAACAGTCTACAAATGTAAAACTGGTGACTGTCAACAAAAATACTGGTGACTTTATACAAAAATCTGGTGACTGCCTGCCTGAAAAAATTGCCCACAAAATGTGTCCATGTTTTAGACTGTCTGTGGTAATCCAGGGATTGGAGATTGGATCCCCAGCTCCAACAGGTAAGACCTTAAAAATTGAGGTCCCATACATTGGTGCTCTATCCTGAACCAGGCTGGCCAACAGCTGTAACAATGTACTCCCCCAAAATAATAAAAACTTTTACTCTAACAAAGACTGGTGACAGTCTACAAAACAATAATATGAGCCGTGTCACGACAAAACCAACATAATGGGTTTGCGACCAGCATGGATCCAGACCAGCCTGCGCAGTCTGATTAGGATCCATGCTGTTCGCTTACCAACCCTTTTACAAGTCGAGAAACTGATAGCGAACAGCATGGATCCTGATCAGACTGCGCAGATGCGCAGGCTGGTCTGGATCCATGCTGGTCGCAAACCCATTATGTTGGTTTTGTCGTAACACAGCTCATATACAGTCAACAAACATGGTCACAGTCTGAAGACAAAACAATAAACACAGTGAAAAACATAATACAGTCTGGATTTCAATATAAAACTAGATTCATGAACTATTTGTGGTCTAACTGAATTGTCGGTTAAGTCAAGTGCAGGTACTTGACTTATTCTGGTTTATGGACAAGTCACTCTAATTGTGACAATGTATCTTTGAAGTAAAAGCTACATACATCAATTCTCCCAAACTCTGTGATTTACTACAAACCATTATGACATGCTTTCACCACCAGCATTAAATCAAGTCAGACTCCTACACTATATTTTAGTGGCTGTAAAATTTCCGCTTTTTCGCAATGAAATTCTAAAAATTATTACAGACACTTCTGAATTCAAAGCTGGGCAACAACTAGTGTTCTATGGCAAATAAATGGATTCAGTCCAAACTGGTGTGTGGCAGCATGGCCGGTTGGTGAATATATCAGACTAGTAATCTAAGGATCACTAGCCGTAAGGGTATAAACCCTGTCAGGGGCAAGCTGTTGTTTCCTTTCACTCATTGCTCAGTACTGGTTAGTTCCAGGGACAGATTTGAGAGTATGTCTATAAGCTTATAGCTTCCTCTACAATTGAACCAAAATAAAGAAATATATAAACCAACCTGCTGTTACTCAAAGACCAATTTGATAACAAAGGTGCTATGAATTATCATTCTTAGCATTAATAATGTCAATATAATAGCAAACAAAAAGGGTAAAAAAATGCATTATTCCATTAGGCACAGTGAGGTTTGTTTATATGCATGAAAAATATCTTTCGTCACGTAGTATAAACTTTATATAGGACTAATTTACAATCAATTATAACTTTCAGACAAGTAAACAGATCCCTGTGTGGTAAAATATATTTTTAGACATTAATATAAACCTTCATGCATTGTTTTTTTGCTTAAAATTTTCTGAAAACAGGAAGATAAGCAGTTTTCTAGGAATACAACCTTTGGAATTTCGTCAATTCATTAACATGACAAAATAATCTTTTAAATACAAAAGAATCTAGCTTGATTATCTATTTTCATAACAGAATAAGTTCAAATGGTATAAGCACTGATAATACAATGGCTGACCCACAAGTCATGGATTGCTGCGATTGAAACTCGACTCCACATCAAACAAGTGCCGAAACAAAAGGCGACACTCGTTTCAAGGACAAGTTAGCGTGTAAATACTCGTTAAACAAGAAACCACTTCCTGGCCATTATTCATAAATGATTGTATTTTTTCCAAACAGAGGTCAAACATTATGATATTATCATAATTTGTTCACATTATTGTTATTGCGTGTTTGAAGGACATTTTTGTTCGTCATCAGTACATCACTATTGTTCTACAGTAAAAAGATATTTATTTCCGTACATTACATCAGTACAGTGAAAAACAACAAAAAATCCTGGTAAATCAGACAGTCATCAGACAGACAGTTGACTGAAACAAAGCATATCATATGACTGTTGAATGACTTGCATTATAAGTGCGTATATTTAGAAAATTTATGTATAATATATATTTATAACATACCTGATTACGTTCTCTCTCTATCAAATCCTCTAATTCCCCTTCACCATGTTTGACTAGATAATTTTTTATGCCTGTCATGAATTGACGAACCTGTGAAAAAAAGTTATAATTGTACATGATTTGCATGAATTTGAGAATTTTATTCTTTTACATTTTTCAAAACTTTAACAAATAATGACAAGATGTTTTTTCAAAATCTAATACATGCAAAAACTATAAGCAAGCCATATTAAAAGCATTACAAAACTCATCTAAAACATTCTTTTTTATTTCTAATAACTATGTTTAAAGCCATTTTAAGGCAATAAATATGTCTACTTTCAGCTATACCATGGATGTTGTCCTAAAATGCCCTGGTACTTTAAATTAATATTTCAGGCAAGAGCATTTAAGTTAGGCTCTTATTAGGTAATCATTAAAGATTATAAATTTGAACCTAATTACCCATCAGAATTATTAATGGGTTTGAGCCCTAATCGGGTCATAAACCATGTTCCTTCATATGACACCAGTACTGGTTGTTTCCAGGACGTGGACTCGAAAGTGACTAATACAAGTTGCAAGAAAATGTTTCGCAATCGAGCTTAAATAAACATGTATAAACTAAGAATTATCAAAAATTAAAACAGTTGTACGTATTTTAACTTACATTTCTGGTAATATTATGTGGGTTAGTATCTGCGCTCTCTAGCGTACACTGTATAAAGTTCTCTATCGTACTTCCGAATGTTGTACTTCTATCGTTGGAAAGACTGATTATATAATCTCTTATGGCACGATCAGGATTTCGATTTCGATCCGATTTGTTCACAATACGGGGCTGGGCTGAAAACATAAGTTTATATTCCTGAAATTCCCAACTTCGGCAGACCAAAAACAGTGTGGTACAGTAATGATATATGCTATAAATAGCCTACATACTATATTTATATTGGTACGAGTCTATTTGGAATATCAAAGACGGCATATATATTTAACCTATCAAGTCATATAGCTAGTAAGACTTAATGTATAGAACTGAAACTTTTAAAGCAGTTAACTTAAAATATAATTATAAACAATTTGGTTGTTAAATCTTACACTGATCGTTATTCAGACAATGCTAAAGAAAATGGTTAGGTGACTCACATAGCACAGGAGCAATTTTATCTCTAAAATCTGCACCAAACAATGGAATGTTTTCACAATATCTCTCTGTCACAGTTCCGGAATGTGTTGTACTTTTTTCATTCACTATTGTTTTATCTGACTGACTGCGACTTTGTTCGTTAGACGAAACACGTAAATTGCACGAGCTATTTTTATCACCTCCAAAAGTCACTGCAGCTATAGAATTGTTATCTGATATCATACTCAGTCTATTCTCATCCTCAGTTTCTATTTGAACACTATGATATTTTTGACTAGATTTACGCCATGCCTCAATTCTCTCCCTTGGATCCAAGGACGGGAGAGGTGGGGGTGGGGCATGACCAGGGGGTGGGGTTGTAACTGGAATATGAGAGTGTTGATGTGATGAATGCGTTTTCATAATTTTTCCAAGAACACTATTCTCCCATGGATTACAAAAGAGAGTTCCATTACTATTTACAGAAGGTGCAACATATGGGTTATTCAAATTATCATATTCCGACAAAGTCCCAAAAACTGGGAATGGTTTCAATGGACGTAATGTCAATTCAGGATTCCAAGAAGTTATAATATCCTCTGCAGTTGATCCTTCAGAATACATCATTTTCTGATCTTCACTAACTTTTGTGAAAACTGGAAATTTTCCTACTGTTGGACTGGAAGGGTTCTGATTTTCATCCAAATCATCAAGAAATTGAAACTGATCCATTATATTAATAGATGTATCATAATGATTATATTCATTTTTGGAATTTCTAAAAGCATCCTCCTTTTTGTTTCTATGATTTGTTAAAGCCTCTTGTAGTAAGTTTGGTTTCTTAACTTTTGTTTTTCTAGGTAAAGGTTTTGGTTTATTAGCCTTATTTCCTTTATGCTCACTATTTTTACCATCATAACTCACATGGTCAACCCATGCTTTTTCATATGCATTTTCGTTTTCAATACCCTCAGTTTTTTCATCATGATTTTCTTTCATCAGTTCCAAAGACATTTCAAACACATCCTCCTCTTCATTAGAACTTTCTGAACTATTTTCAGGAGATTCCTCCTTAACAGTTTTATCTGGTTCATACACAAGAGGAGAAAGTTTTGAACACTCTGTAGATGGAAGACGTCGCTTTGAAACATGACTAATTGCTGGAGCTGATCTTCTCCGTAACTTTTTTGGAAGTTTTGGAACTTGACCATTTTCTTTGTTTTCATTTTCCAAAGGACTTATGGCATCGAAAGGTTCAGAGTACACTGGACTTTTCATTGCTAGTGAAGAAGTTGAAACAGACTTTCTAGGACTCTTTTTAAATGGAGAAGAGTTTTGCTTCCAAGAAGGGCTTGTCTGAGTTTGAACCGAGTTTGTTGGTTCCGCCTCAGGATCTTCGGTATCGGCATCTGCATCACTGTTACTATGACAACTACCCCCATGGTTACTGTCACAGTCTATATCACTGTCTTGTTCAAGAATAGAATCAAATCCTGCACTTGCTATAATTTGTTGAATATGTTCAGATTCAGGGGATTTATCACCTGAAGTATTAGCACTTTGAACACTTTGATCAATCTGACCTTTAACAATACACTGATGTTTTAAAATCTGTGTTTCTGACTCCTTCGTGTTAGCACTATCAGTTACCTGACTACTGAATGGTTTTAAACCTCTAGCACTAATATCTTTGGTAGAAGCTTTATCATTGGACACTGTTAATTTATCTAAGCTTACATTTAAATCCGTAGTTAGACATTTCTCACTAAAACACTGTTCATGAAACACTGTGGTTGTCATGACAGGAGATGTGGGACTTCTGGGAGAATTTCCATTCACTAAATTTGGTTGTAACCTTTGCACAATATCTGCTTGAACACTACTGACTTTTGGATCTGCGTAATTATTTTTCCATATGTCTTCATAGTCACTTAGTTTATCTGAAAGATTACTCCGAAAATAATTCTCTTCCGGAACATGAAGGTAATCTACTGGCATACCAGAGTCCAGCTCTTGTCCAGTATGATTTGATCCTTTATTTGGTTTTGCGTATGGTACAGAAACTAAAGATTCTCTCTTAGCAATCTTAATATCTACCCTGTTTTCTTTATCATTCACTTGTAGCACCAATCTCTGTCTTGGTAGATTATCCTCATGCAATGAAGAACTTCTAGTCACATGTCTTTTTGTTGTCACATGATCAGTTTGCCTACTCTCACTTCTGAAGTTAAAAGATTGAGTACTTTTACTTCCTGTGAGGGAACACTTTGAATGAACACTTTCAGATATACTACTCAAACTTTGTTGTGAACAGGTTTGTCCAATTTCTAACAGTGTTTTAGAAGGTTTTTGAATTAAATATGAAGAAAAGTCTATCACAGAATGTTTTGGAGGGGTATTTTGTAGTAACCCCTCATCTGATTGGCCAGTTGGTGGAGTATGTTGCTGTATCAGAGCATCTGATTGGCTGTAAGCTGGCACTGGATTTTTAATAATGCTGATTGGTTCACTCTGGGATTTATTCATTGTCGCTGAATGTTCAGAGAGATTTGACCTGCTTGACGATCTACTTTGAGCATCATACTTTGAAGATGTCCAGAAATCTGTAAGAGACAAATATTTTAAGTCCATATATGGCTGATAAAAATACTAATTACAAACTTACTACAACAATTTACACATTTTTTACACAAAAAAAAACAGACAAATGTTTATTTTCAATGTTTATCATCCTTGTATATAATATGTAAATAAATAAACATACTAGAAAGAATTATTCATTTTATCTCATATACATTTACGTTATCATTACTTTATCTAATCTAAATATCAACCAACCACAATTTCCTTGCTCATTTAAGTTGTTTTAAACATACATTTCAAAACCAAGAGAGAATTATTTAGAAAGAAACCTGAAGCTAACTTACCTTGGCCAAGCATTGCAAGTGCTGTCAATTCTTGGGAAAATTTGGCATTTCTAACAGCTGGTGGGAGAACAAGTCTATGTGGTAAATCCTCTCTGAAAACCAGTCAAAAATTCCCAAAATGACACATAAGCAGATGATAAACGCATCATTTAACCCAGTATTAAATTGCATATGATATCTATCTAATAAGGGGAATAATAGTAGTATATATTGTATTATATTTCACATATTATCACTCAAATTGTGACATATGGAGATATATTAAACTGGGAAAGCAATGATTATATGACAAATAGTGACAAGATGTTAAATATCATCAGTATCACCTTACATGTAAATGATGATAAGGCCAAAGGTCATAAACTTTAAGTTTGAAACCCAGCTTCAAAATGCACTATTATGATTGGTTTATAAAAAGTATAAGCTGATTTAAACTGCAGAATTTGTGTTTTGAATTTTGAACAGTCTATTTGGAGTTTTAGGGATTTCAGTACATAAATACAAAAGCTGAGCTGCAAACAAAATAGAACCTGGTCAGTTGGCATGGATGTGCAGGCTGGCCTGGGTCTATATTGGTGGTTAACCTAATCACAATTGGTAAAAGCAGGATGGGGGTTAAATTTAGTTTAAACACATACATAAATAACCTCATGCTCAAATTTTGATTTAATTATTCAACCTCTAGGTTTTACCTATGAATGTCAGCAGATACAATAACTTGCCAGCTAAACCACCATTGCAAACACAGCCAGGCAAGTCTGTACATTGGGGCAATTTTACAAGGCTCTATCTTGGAACATCATAGGCTTGACCTTTAAATCTATGCAAACTTATCTACATCTTTTTATTGTTTGCTGTTTAATTCAAATTTTTTGATCATGAAATCCCTCACAATAATATTGGACTATTCCAAATTCAAAGCAGGGCAAGTCCATTATACAAATTTAGTGGGGTAAGGGATTTACATTCACACTTAAAAGATTGTCATTCATTTGCAACTAATTTGTTCAAAAACAGTTTATACAAATTGCCCAATACTACATAACAAAGAATAAAAACACCATAGTTAAAGAGATTTAATAGTAACTGACTATTATGTAAGTAATATCTATTTCATTTAAATATACTACAAATTCTTCTAAATGCATGATTGTGCATTAATGAATAAGCTAAATTACGTGCAAGAGCGTTTTGTTTTTTCAGCAACAGGTGATTTCTCTCTTTCATTAAGCACTTATAATCTAAGAATGCCAGGTAATTTGCAGCAATATCATCCTGCACTCCTAGCATCTTGCAAAAAAATAGTGCATTAGCTGCATAACTGCACATGGAGTCTTGTTTCCACCACTTTATCTCGGGAAATTAATCATGCAGAGACAATTACGAGTAGATTGCAGGCAAGTTTATAGTCTCTTATTTTTACACCTTATATTCCCATGATAAAAACTGCGAAATTTCATTTAATTATTCAACTGGGCTATCAAGACCATATAATATTATATTTAACTATACTCCAGACTTGGTAAGTACCAAAAAACAACTTACTTATTATCACAGTAATGGGCAATTAAATTAGGTACAGCATCAAACAATCTAACGGAGCCCTGCAAGTGGAGCCCATGCTCTGTGGGCTCTATAAGATAATGATCAACGTTCTGGGTACCGTCTTGGTTTGGATATTGTACCGATAGTGCCATAATCTCTTCTCGACTTGATTTCCGAACAATGAAAATCTGAAAATAGAATTAATTGCCTATAATTATATCAACCATTACATAAATAATTCATTGCACAAATATTTCAGACTGTACAAAATTAAATAAATCTCAAATACTTTTATACATTCAGGAGCGATGTAATTTCATCATAATAAATGAGATTTTTATTCCATGATACTTTGATCGTAAAATGTTCCGACATTGGTGATTACCAAAAAAACACATCATCGAAAAGATGTAATACATAATTACACATCTTTTCATTTTGTCTGTTAACCAGATAACAATTTTTATTACTAACATTAGCAGTACACCTAACATTAAAGTCATAATTATGAAAGGAAAAACCTGATGAACAAGATTTTGTTTGTTTGATATCGGTAAAAAATCAAGTATAATATACCTCCTAATAATGATGTCTTCCCCATAAATCATTAATTTTTTTTAAAACGACAAATTTTTCCCGTTTTTTATACTTTTTCAATATCATCTTTGATAATTATCAAAGTCAAATGAATTTCAATACCACAGACTATGTGTTCACTAATACCAAATTATCTTGCTATCCTTATGAAATCAGAGAGCCTTACATTTTTTTCTTCTCCACTTATTACAAATGCATAGTTTAGTTTAAGGCGTATATTGAACATTAAAATCATAGCAGACACTATCTTGAACATCTTATACCATCAATCAATAGGTAACAGTGATCTACCTTGTCAAAATATTCAAATCATCGTTTGAAAAGCGAAATACACAATGGTGTTAAATAAACTTAATTTATAACTGCAAGATATCTACAACAGTTTACCCACTATAAACAGATGATTTATCAACAGTTATATTTGCTTTCAAGTTTAATTGAATGTGATCTAAAATAACTGTTTAAAATTAATCTAATAAGAAAGGCAATTATATACCCCAGGGAAATCATAATGTTCTTATACGAGCGTTTCAATTAATCATTTCTTTATAATAGTGTATTATACAGTCATAGAGAAAAAAAGAGTATTATATTTAATAAAGTAGTTTAGAATAACGCTATTTAACTACGGTAAATCAGTTCATGCAGAGCTGTTTACAGTGTCTGGCATTTTTTTGTATTTTAGGGATTTCAAAATATTATATAGGTACAATGTGTACCAATATTTCACAATCATATTCTGTCTGATGAAAGTTGAGCAAGTATAAACAGTTTCTCAAACAAAATTTTAACACTTCTGAGACACAAGTTAACTTTGTACTTAGGCCAAGATTTTAATATATTTTTTTATTATTGGTAAGGTTAGTTTACTAATAATGTTAGCTAAATCACCCTTTGAGTGCCAGTATATAACTAGACCAGCTTACTGACAGCTTGTTAAAGGGACTTGAATCGTTTTACTCAAATCAGTCAAAGAATCACACAAAAATTGTTGATCAATTTAATTCTGAGTATATTTCTTAAATATCTTTGGTAAAATGTTCCGTTTTTGAGCGTGTCAGTTGACCTATGTAAGAATTTCAAGCCTTATACTTTTAGGCATTTTGAGGATTCTAATGTCAAAATCCTTCATGTTCAAACTTTAAAATAAGACAAGTCTACTAAAACATTAGCAGGGAAAGCTTTAAAACACAGTTTTCAAGACAGTGAAATAAGATAATCAAAATTTACACGACAGAGCTTAGTTTTAGCCAATCATGTGCTACGGAACAAAAACTTGTTTCAAGAACGAGTCGCCTTATAATACTACTTACCCCTGTGTCTCGATTTTTTAGTAAGTGGACAGCACCGGACCGGCCAACCTGTGGTAAGAACCATATTGGATGTGTTTTAGTGAGTCGTTCTAGCACCGTAATTTGTCTGAGATCAGAACCAGATGTTGACCGGCTCAGACTGGTTTGTTTCTCTGGATACACTGGCAGCTCCAGGGCCTGAAATAGTTCAATATTACATACAATTAATTCAGGCTGATTACCAAAATCAAATACTCATATATGCAGTGACTTAAATAATAATGATTATAATAAATTTGAAAATTTCAGAGTAAACTCCAGCAAAATATTGACTCTCAAACCAAAAACTTATAAATATAACAAGGTTGGTAGAACATCATCATACTAATCATTAGCATAATAAATATGCCAAAAACTAAAGCTGGTGATATAACATAAGGGAATGTTCCCGTATATAAAGTCACAAACCACTCTTGGTGGTGAGCTAACTTTTCACTGACAGGGTTTGTGTGCCGTACATTTTACATAAAAATGCATGTCATATAATTTATTTCCTGATGTGTAATAACTTATAAAGAAGTCACAACGATTTAGAAAACTTACAGAATATTCTGGTACCATCCAAACTCGCAATTATATTATTTTCAATTATCACAAATTATCACCAATTATCCTTGTTTTTAACATAATTTACAAAGAGTACTCCTTCGAAATGTTTCACTTTATAATTTTCTTTTTTTCACACACAATAATTTTTCTATATACAGCATCACTTGTTAGATTACATTTATTTATAATCTACTTGAAGGATTTATAGCTACCGACTTCAATAGACTTCTTTCATTATGATACAGTCATTTAAGGAAAAGAAATATAACACAATTAACACAAGTGGTTGCTGTTTGTTTTACTTCATATAGATAAAGAGTATGTAAAAATAATAGTTTAACATAAACTATAACGAGTCCATTCTAAAGTACAAGTGACAGAGTGAGTCAAGTATTAAGTCAATGATGTGGAATATACGTGTGACAGATTAAGGTGTGACTTTATGACCACAGTAATAACTTCATCTTCCCGCGTTTTTCCTTTTCTCGTAAATAATTATGTTTACACGCTCTTTTTAATTCATATCCTTTATATATGCTACCTGCTATGAAAATGCACCTTGTATTATATAGGACTTAAACGGTTTTAATGTTGTATTAAAAGCATTTGTGTGGTTGCGAGTCAAGGAAATTGTTTCCCTAGTAATTTTTGGGCAATAATTGCGCAACCTGTTATCAATATTTCGTACCTTGTATATTCAGTGATTTAAGACCATTAATTAAGTGCCAAATAATCAGCGAAGAATTTTACGGCAAATGGGTTTTTGCACTAGGTAAATGTTTACATAGACTCGATAACAAGCAAAAAACAATTTAAACAATGAGCAAAGAATGCAATACAGGGTTTGTAAGAAAGAAAACCACAAGGAGTGTCTATGTCTGCACACTGTATGTAGTCAATCTTGAACATAAACTTCACGAAAAAACAATACTAATTTAACATTAGTTTGTTCAAACTTCAGTTAAAACACTTCTAGTTTTTATCTATCCTGTCTCAATTCAAAATAGAAGGGAAAAACCCATACTCTGTACAGACAATCTATTAAATCAATCTTATTACAGGAGAATTGCACACTATTGTTAAATTTCATATAAATACTGTAAACGAACAGTTTATTTGTCCCATCAAAACGAAAATGCGTCAATTTCATGTCTGAATGAATTTTATGCTATTGAATAACGAAGCATGAAACGAATCTTCAAGTACGTTAAGAAAGTCAATTTCCCGTACATTGATTTGTAAGATCTTTCTATAAGAGAACGTAGTTCTTAAAAGATTTGACATTATAATAAGCCGTTATAACATAGACCATGTAAAAGCATTTCACTGGCAGGAGTTTCATTGAATTTTATTTTTATATCAATTTTTTTCCTTTTATAACATATAAATATCTATAACCTAAGTATTTAAGCTTTTTACAATGTCAAAATATAAAATGTAAAAGTTCTTTAGGTCATAACAATCAAGAACAATCATAAAACCACAGCGAGAGCTGGGTAAATTTATGATAAAACTTAAATTACAAGCATATTAAATTCTTGGTATACCCATATAAAGTTCTCAAAAAGTTCAATTACACTTTTAATAGTTGTATACATATAAATCATAATATATCTAATGTCAGTGAAATTTTACTGAAGTTAAAAAGATTTTTTTTAAAATATGACTCATTTATAACTTGCCTGAAGAAAGCAAGTATTTCTATAAAATTAATTCAATGCTAATTTCAATGAAAAATGGGACAGACATAGTTTATCAGTTATTCATTAAAATGAAAGCAGTCTATACCATAAACTTCCTTAATGTTTTTTATCTTATACTTTTTTCACCTTCGGGGAGCAATGACTTTGCGGTGTTAAATGCAGTGACTGTTACTAAGGTTCAAGTCCCACAAGGGTCACAACCATGTATATCCTCATAAGGAAAACAGCACTGGTAAGTCAAAAAAGCCCATATAAATGAGAAAATAACTTTTAAATTATTATTTTTGTTTCCCATGAAATATGCTGAATTAAATTCAGATTAACGATATGTATTCTTATGCTCGTTTCTGAAACAATTTCATGCAACTAAAATATTGTATTAATCACTTCTGCGTCTTCTCCCTTGAAATAACCAGTCTCAATACTAGCGTCATTATAGGATATGGGTGTGACCCTTTAAAGGCTTGAAACCAAGATCCCTGGGTTGAGAGGCAGACCCCTGAACAAGTATACCCCTACTCCCCTCATGGTGAAATGCTGATATATTACAACCCTAAATCCTCACATTTACTTTGAAAATTTTGATGTCTAGCAATGATAAAGAATGATCTATGACACCTATAACATCCTGCAAGCCTTAACATCCTTGCAGATTGACCTGAATCTACACTGAAGACATTTGAATTTTTGTAAATTGATGTAAATGTCTCAGAAATGCACAAAAGACAGTTCCAAAATCAATGACAGGGAAGTTTATTTTACAAATTCAGCAGCTAGAAAATAGTGCATTGAAGACTGTCTTTGTATGTCATTCAAGTCACAATTGTCTACAATAGTTACTGGCAGATTGCGCTGACCTGACCAAAAGGTCAGATTAAATGTCCGAACACCTAATAAAGAAAATTAAGCCCTGTTTAATGGTCAGTATCAAATGACTAGCTGACAGATTCCATTTTATGTACTAGGCTATGACTGACCATTGTAAGAGAAAGGTTACCAGAGGCCAATCTGATTAACTTGACAATAACCTTATCTGTAAATTATCCTGTCAACTTATCCCTGCCCACTTCAACCATTTTAACTATATAAAATATGGCCCTTATTTGTATAAGGTATCTACTTGGATCAAAGCTGGGGAGCTCGTGAGAAATGTCCTCCCAAACAACTTACGAACACGAAGCAGATGTGTGCCATATAGAGCACTTAAAGAAGACAAAGACCTGGTGTTAAGGACACCTCCTTCATGCCAGCTAATCCTGTAATCCCCCAAAGTTAATTTTTTAATTCGTTGTAAGCTTATACCAATATTTTCATTCTGTAACAATATTTTTTTTCGAGCAGACGCAACTTATAACCTTTTCAGAACTTAATCTGCAAACAATCCATATAATGCACATTTAAAAACCTTTCTCGATTCCTATTATCCCATTTTAATTAATTTCTTAATTAAACTTATTACATTCATTTAAGTTGTACTTACCCTGTTTGAAGAAAGTCCAAAAACATCCAAATGTGTAGAATTCGGCGAAAAGTTACTATTTCTGGTAACACTGTTATTACTGTCTGTGGATGTTAGTGTGCCGCTACGGATATCTTTGTTGCTAACGTTACTGTCTGTAGATGTCAATGTGCCGCTGGTACTACTGCCACCAAATGCAGAACAATTCTCAAAATGCATAGGCTTCTTACTGAAATATAGAAATGAAATGGTTTTCATTATCCCTAAAAATTGTGTCAGTACGTGTTGATACATTTCAAATCTTCTGAAAGAATACATCTTAAAATATTTTGAGCCTGAATTCCTTCAAAACATTTCAAATGAAATACTTTACCATTCCATTACTCTAGCTATAATGTTGAGAATCTATTTCCCTTTTGAAAGCATTAAATATCATATATATCCAATACTTGATTTAGTACTTGTCTATTACATACAATTCAGGCTGTATATATTCTGTATTTCTACAGACAATCCACCTCTTTGTTTCCTTTTCAGACACAAAATTTAAGCCAAGTAGCATTTACTGTAATTTACCTCAATTTCCTTTAGTCCTATTACTAAGCCTAGACAATGTGACTAGCAAACACTTGATTGAAATTTGTGTCTTTTTACTTGGAACATTATTCCAACAAATGGTTCAATCAAGTAGACCACAGCCTCATTACAATTCTGTCTGGAATCAAGTTTGAACATCAGCAGACACAATCAAACATGGAAATGAAGACACAAACATGCCAATCAAATATGCAAACTGTATTACTGTGGTAACATTTCTGTAGATCCATACAGCTTCAATATCTTAGAAAATCTTAAGTAACTTTAGCCAATAGATGACAATACAGCAGAATAAATACAATATTCTCTTGTTACATTAGGTCTCATCAATATTTTACAGGCTTTGTAAGTCTATTGAAATGATGGAACTATCTCTCTCAAAGCCACATTATTCAATTTCACAGGCAGAACTTGAACATATATTCTGCAAAAGAGGAATGACTATGTTCTTTAATATGTAAAGATTTGTGCAGACTTTTTTGCCCAATGAAACTTAAGCTGTAAAGGAAATTAAAAGAAAAACAATAAAATATTCCAAGAGCTGCTCAGCCAGTTACATGAATAGCGACAAATCAATATTTCTTAATTTTAAAGCCAATTTCTTTCATTCAAATATTTCAAAAGATAAAATATACATGCATATTTACAGCATGCATATCCAGACAATAGCTGCTTCCAACTGAATAAATAAAATGCTATGCTTGCAAAAACTAATGATATCTCAGTATTGTTCATTTCAATATTTTGCGGACAAAAGTCTGATTAAGTGATAGATGTGCTTTATAAATATCAACCCCTAGGGAATATGGCTAAAAGTAATTTCACATCTGGTTAGACAAGGACTCCCTGAAGGCTGCCATTCTACAAAATACAGGAAATCAGCATTGACTATTACAGTGAATAAGCTTCAAAATCAATTTACATATAAACTGCACATTTGAAATTTAATTCCAGATTCTCAAGGATTTTCCAAGAAAAACAATTAAAACAACTGGAAAACAAAAACAGAACTTCATTTTAAACTGAAGTATTTGCAAATGCAAATACAATATTATCTTAGATAAACAAAATCTTTATCAATGCTGCATGTCAATTTGGAATGCAGTATTTTCTAAAACTACCTAAACACTGTCGTCTTTATTTAAATTTTCTTTTAGTTCCACTAAAATAACCCAGGAGAAGATCGCTAAGTTTTAACAGAAATTATGCTATCTTTGCATCAGCATTGTTTAAAAAGTCAGCTGAGACATATCTACAAGAAAATTTACAACAAAAAATTCTCACTGAGGGTTTTTTGTCTATTATATCTGTCAACATTACTATATCAAATTCTTACATGGCAGCCAAGACCAGAATTCAGAAGCCAAAATCATCCAATGTTTTTCAACTCCATTAATGTTAAAGAAATTCCCCAGTCTTTCAACAGAGACATAGATCTTTGATTGGCTTGAAGGGGAAAATAAATCATTTATCACAATTTGGCACCAGTCAATAAAAAAAGCAAAAGCTTGGTAAAATGACAGTTTTGCATCTATTGGGATATCGAGTCAGAAGTCAATTGCAAGGATGCTGCTAAGGATCTATTATTATAGACACTTCGGTTTGGCATACAGCAAGAATTTAGGTGAAATAAACTGTCAGAATTATTTTTTCATCATTTCTAAAAAATCGCACCATCCACTAAAGTAAGGTGCTTGTTTGGCATCTGATTAAGTGAAAATATTAATGGGACATTAACCTTAAAATGAACATGAAAATTTCATTTTGTTTATGACTTGGCAGTGAATATTACAGTAAGAAATGTGAACTTTCTCAATGACACACTGGAACACTTTATTCCTATTTTCTCACAATCAATACTATACAATGAGCAAATTGACATAAATCTGGTGACAAGCTCCTTGAAAAACTTTAATTTAATTTAAAATCAATCATAAATTATGGTAATTTATTCTAGTATTGTAAAATTCAAATCAATTTACAGTATATTGACAGGAAGATGAATGTGCCAACATTGACATTTTCACAAAAATTTCCTTTCATTTAATACATGTACACAATTCTTTTATACACAAACAAACAATACAGACAAGAACAAAAGATTTTTTCTTATATAATTTCACTTACAATAATAAGGTTTTCTTATATTATTGTCATGCTATGAAAAATTAGCTATTTTCTTGTTATATTTTATATTGTGTATATTAAATAAGTGAGTGAAATTTCTGATTTCAAAATTAGGCATAAATTTATAAATGATAAAACTAAATTATACCCTCTTTCTTTGTTAAATCTCAAGTACATTTATGTGGTCAATTGGAATGTCTCAAACAGGTGACATGTTGTTACAGAGAAGCCAATGTGCTAAAAACCTTTTACACTAGACAAAGAATTGTAAAATGCTTGTTATATTAACATCTGTGATAAACTTTATTCTTTTAAAAACATAGACAATTAAATTTACTAATAGTGATTAGAAAATATGTAAGTTATTTCTCAAGTATTTTCAGAATTAAGCCAGAACTTGTAGTTCCGCCTCTCCAGAAATAATGTTTAATTATTGGTCAACTAAGTTAAACCAATGGACAGTGAGAGAACCCCTTAAAAGATCCCTTTTCCAGCTGGCAGTATCATTCTGCCTGATTAAAATATATGTGTTAACAAATTAAATAAAAGCTGGAAAAGTGGATTAAACTTTCTTATATTTTTATATCTAGGTAAGTTGTATTTTATTCTATGTACATTTTGTAAATGTTTGATGTTAAACAACTAAAATTTAGTTAAGAACACTAAGCTGTTCTTATTTTGAATACTTGAAAATATTATGTTAAAAACTTTGTTAAAAACTTCAGGTAACAAGATGTTACTTTATATTTGAATATTATCTATTTTTGTCTTATAATTAAGCAATTCAAGTAAATGAATGTAAAACTTACTTTCATTGATATGTTAGAATTTAATATTATGTTTATATTAGATCATTCTGCCTGATTAAAATATATGTGTTAACAAATTAAATAAAAGCTGGAAAAGTGGATTAAACTTTCTTATATTTTTATATCTAGATATTCCCCATTGTGAAAGATTCTGCCCCAATAAGCAGTGCATAACACGTGGCGGAAATCAGTGTCTTTCCCAACCTCTCAATTTAGCAAGCGAGACTACGAATTCAACTTCCCCAAGAAAAACAACAATGAGTTTCATAAATGGAATACCATTTAGAAGTGAAAAATCATGTGGACAATGTGGACTTTATCATTATAACAGAAAGGAGAAGTGTTGTGCAGAAATGGCAAGATGCAACAAATGCAAGAGAATTGGACATTTTGCACGAGTTTGCCGAAATCAAGCAGTCAAGTCAAGTCTATCTAAACAACGGGATCAAGAACGTATGACAACTTTTATCAGACGTAAGACAGCAGAAAACATGTTACCATTCTATAACGAAGACGATGCCTTCTTTAAGTATATTTTAACAAACAACTCTGTTAGTAACGTTTCTAAAGCAGAATTTCAGAAGATACAATCTTTAAATGATTCAATGAATAAAACAATTCACGGTTTAAAATCAGAAAATGTGGCTCTAATTTTGAAAAATCAAAGACTTAAAAACTTTAATGAAAACCTGCAGAATGAGATTTCCCTCAAGAAATCACAAATATGTAATTTTCAAGAAGCATTGTTGCAAGAAAACAACTCACTAAAAGAAAAATTAAGTGCTGACTCGTCAAAACTAGAGAAAATGGACAAACTTATTTTAGAATATAAGAAATTGAGTGATGATTATGTAGAATTGAGACTCCAATACAAACAGAAAGCTTATGAAGAAGCATTGATGACAGAATCATTGAATGACCAAATAGATGACCTCAAAAATAAGAACCAAACCTTGACAGATGAGATTACTCAGCTTAGAGACAGAACAAAATATCTTTGTCGTAAAAGAGGAAATAGTAATCAGGACCTTTCAACAGCATGTGAAACCGGGTTCCCACACGAGTATAGATCAGGAAGCAAATTTCATCATGGAAGACAGCAAGGACAGAGGGGGCAGTATAACAGAAGTAGACGTTATTGAAAGTTTATTGTTTACAATAAATCAGTGACATACATGTATGATATATTATAAGTGGATGGTACTTATGCTTTTCAGCAAAATCGGTGCTTTATGTTCACAATATATTTCTGTAACTGAATATCTCACGTAAACAGTATTCTAATTTAATGATATTTATTTTTGTTATATACATATTTATACTTCATTTCACAGGAGTGAAATAATCTTAAAGGAGGGAGAAGTGTTGTGCAGCAGAAAAATGATAAAATTCTTTTAAAAAAATAAATGAATAAATATGCATGATGGTTTTCTTTTAAACAAAAATATTTATAAATATAATCATTTTCTAAAAGGTCAAATTTTCAGAACAATGTGTGAAATTTCAAATATGTTAAGTTACAAATATTATATGTTTTAATAACAGATGTCAAATTAATAATTATGTAACCGGAAGATTAAATATGGCTTTTCCTCTTTGTCCAATCAACTGTGCTAAAAGTTTTATTATATTTAGGTGATAATGTCAATTTAGCCGTCTGTACTTAATAAGTTGTTAAACCTTATTACTGATAAAA